CTACGAAAAAAAAGAGGGAGGGTTAGGGGTGAAAAATCTTAGATGGTTCAATATGGCATTGCTCGGGAAATGGTGGGGGAGATTAATAGGGGGAGATAAGGGGTTGTGGTCGAGGGTGCTGGTAGAGAAATATGGTGACAAAGGAGGAAATTGGTTATCATGGATGAAAGAGGGTAGGGGAATAGGATCGCCATGGTGGAATGATATTTGCAAATTGAATACAGGATCAAGTAATAAGGCTGGGTGGTTGCTCTCAAATTTCAACTTAAAATTAGGGGACGGGAAGAGTGTCAGGTTCTGGTTAGATGTTTGGGTGGGGGAGGATTCTTTAGCTAATATGTTTCCAAGACTGTTTTTGTTGGACACAGACAAAAATTGCAGCATATATGATCGAGGTTATTGGTCTGATGGCCGCTGGTACTGGAGATTCCAATGGAGAAGATCAACTAGAGCATGGGAGGAGGAAAAAATACAACAGTTGATTGGGACCATAAATCACAAAAAACCAGTGCAGAATGTGAAAGACACCTGGAGATGGAGGCCTGAAAATGAAGGAAACTACACCACAAGGTCAGCTTACAAGCAGTTGGCTAAGAAAGAAGAAAGTACACTATTGGAGTACAAAAATATATGGAGTGCGCAAGTCCCTTCAAAAGTGGCAGCTTTTTCATGGCAAATGCTTCTTGACAAAATCCCCACAAAGGCCAACTTGGCAAAGCGTGGCATTTTGGACGACAACCAAGGTATAAATTGTTTTTGGTGTGATCAGTCCCCTGAAAATATTGATCATCTTTTTGTGTCATGCAATATCTCATTCAATTTATGGTCTAAATGTCTAAATTGGTGGGGATTATGTTATGTTCTTGGGAATACTTGTCTTGATGTTTACAACCAACACAGTTGGCATAAGGGTTCAAAAACTATGAAAAGAGGCTGGAATATGTTATGGTTCACAATAGTATGGTCATTGTGGTTGAGTAGAAATGAAACAGCCTTTCATCACAAGAAGGTAAATGAGGACTCGCTATTTGAACTTGTACAAAACCGATCATTCCATTGGGTTAGAACTATGTTGAAATTAGAAAATTTCACCCTCTTAGAATGGTTTACCAACCCTGTGAGTTGCTTGACAAATAGGAAGTAGAGAGTAGATGGGGTGTTGAGCTCCAAGTTTCCTGTTCTGGAATACCAGGGGATCTTGTTGTTTTGACCCACTTCCTGGATGTAATTTGTTTATTGATGTCTATGGGTTTGAGTACCCCTTGTACTCACTTAATAAAATTCTTTTTGCTTTTCAAAAAAAAAAAAATTTAACCATCATCAATTTTGATACTTCTTGTCAGGAGATAGCCGGATCGACGAGGATACACCCATGGCAAATAAAAGTGAAATACATGTGAGAATATGTTATCTTCAACTTAAAAGAAATATTCATTAGGTTCATAAGCAATTATTCATATATTCCACTCACTTACTGCATTTCTTTTTTGAATATATTGTTTTAGTTATTACCATTTGTTCACCATATGAACTCCCATAGTTAAAAAGAAAAAAAATAAAGAGAATTAATATATAGTAAAGAAAAACTAACATAAAGTTAATAATTTTTTGAGTTTAACGTGATGTTTACTGAGATGTTTACCGAAAAAGTTGTTGTTATATTGTTAAGGAGACTTGCCTTGTAACCAGTGGAAGAGGAGATGACGAAGGTCACAAACGGTTAGAAGGTATCCTGCAGCTCGACGTTCACTCACTTGCAAAGCATTAGACTCCATAAGTGGTTGAAAATCACAATTGGCCTTTTTCCTTGCCTGGTGCGTCTTCCATATATGTCCTTTTCTGAAATGAGTTGTAATAAAAACTCCTACTCCACATACCAAAAAAAAAAAAGAAAAAAGTAAAATTAAAGCATGCGCGCGCACACACATATATATATGCACACACATGTGCGTGCCAAATGTTACCGGAAATTAACGTACCTCACCTAGGCTGCATCTCCTAAGTTAGTCCCATGGAAGAGCATGCAAAGCTGAGTCTACCTCCTCTGGTAGGAGGAATGGATGGGTGGGAATGCCTTTGAGGTTGATCGTTGCCTGTTAAGATGTAAACATAATAATTTAGAGATATTTATACTTATTGTAAATATTTTATACTTTAAAATATTTTTTTTATATATTTTATATTTTAAAATATTCTCTTT